CATGTTTTGTTTATCCAAGCATGATTAAAATGGCACTACCGTCACTATATTAAATCTAAGAATAATTCTTTTATATAGACGTGGCTACACATTCCAAAGTTTACCATTTCTAGCTAGAATCTAGTCCTCGTCAGACTCGGGCTCCTCGTAGTTGTTGCCGTAGAATCCATTGGCAATGATCTCATCATCGACGTCCACTTCGTGGGTCAGCAGGCTCCGCCTGTGCGCCATAACGAGCACGTCCTCGCTCCCGTCAAGCGCGTTGCTGATGCCACAGGTGAGGAAGGCCTTTTTAATGAGGTCGGCTGCACTTTATTCCAGGCCTGTGAGATCCACCTGAGCACCACCGCAGGTGGCGGCTTCTTGATGTTCGCTGCACCACAAGATGGAGTAGGGGGGAAGCCGTCAGATCAACAAAGGGGGGGAATAAAAAAGGGCGCAGATATTGTCAACGGTGGGTGCCGTACCTGCAGGTGTCAGCCTCTCTTGGCCCTCCTCTTCAAACCAGCTCTGGTACTACTGGCGGATGGAGGCCTTGAAGCTCTTGTTGATCGAGACGTCGACGGGTTGAACCTCCGTCGTACAGCCCCCAGGGATCACCGCCGGCACGATGTCAAGCTCGGTAAACTTCTCCTTCACGGCGTCAGGGAGGTGACCGCAGTAGGAATCCAGCACGACCATCGTGCCCCTTGCCTGCCTTCCGAACCGAGACCTTATGAAGGGCTTGATGCACTCGTCAAGCCAGCGCATGACGCCGTCGGCGTCCACCCAGCCATTCGGGTGGACCGCGACGACCACATCTGCGCGTTCACGAGCGGTAAATTAATCTCCGTTCGCTACCTATCGAAAAAAATCATAGAAACATCAAACACCATAATCATCTCTTGCCTGGCGGGAAATCTCCCTTCGGCACCGTCTTGCGCTTGAAAAATACCCACGGCTTGCGCTTCTCCCCGTCGGCTGTACACGCCAACATCACAGCGACGCGCTCCTACTGGTAACCAGCGCTCCTGATAGGCACCGACCGAACGCATGTCTGATCCACAGTGGTGGTGGCGGGCATCTCCAGCCACAGCGGCGTCTGGTCGGCGTTGATGATCCACCGGGTTTCGATGCCGCGCTCACGACGCTTGTCACGGACGAACTGCCATGGGGAAGAAGTGGGGAGACACATGGGTTAGTAAAACACAAGTAATACAAGACTCTTTGCATAAAGTACCAAATTATTCTTACGGGCAGCGGTTTTCTGGGCAATCTTTGTCTTCATGCAAACGCTCAGATTCCACCGCTTCCGAAACCGCTCCGACCACCGTTGACTCCCCTTCCACTTCACGTCGGGGAAGAGTACCTTCATGTACTCTCGCGACCACTCCTGCAGACGACCGACGGAGACGGGCATCTCCCTTGCGGCGCCAGTCGAGGAGCTTCGCGTACACCTTCATCTCCATTGGCCGGTACCACAACGCTCTCCCGCGACCGTGCATGCGCTTCCGTGCGGAGTGTGCTTCTTTGAGGAAGGTGGGCGGCTCTCTTCCACTCCATGAGACACTTGCGGTGGATGCCAGATTCGCGAGACAACGCGCGCACCGAAACCGCCACATCCAGGCACGCGAGCCACTTCAACTTCTCTTGCGCGGTATATGCGTTACGCTTATGCTGTGAGGGCTTGTGCAAGAGGGGGGGCAGGCATCACGGTTCTCAGGAGAAGGGTGGGGACGCTTGCGGTTAGTAGGCGGATACGAGGGTATCGGTAGTTTCTCGGGAAGGCCGTCGCGCGACCAATAATCGACGTCGTCGTCATCGTTGCCGCCCGGGGCACCCTCGGGAAACACATCAGCCGCTGTGCCGGCCTCGGCGCCAGTGTCGGTGCCAGCCTCGGCGCCAGCGCGCCACTCCTCATCGGCGTCGGCCACATCATCGTCAGCACCCACTGCAGATTCGTCCCATGTGCAATCTTCGGGCTGGCCCCAACGTGGTGCCGGGGCCGGAGCTTCTACGTACTCATCTGGGGCCTTGTTCCTTTCAGGTTCCGAGAAGTACTCGTCGAACGCCGATGGGAGCAGGAGCGTGAGCACGGGCGGATTGCCCGTGCCTTCATACACTGGCGGATTCGGAGGAGCAGTAGGAGCAGGAGGCGCAGGAGGCGCAGGATGAGCAGGAGGCGCAGGAGGCGCGGGAGGCTGTGGTGGCTCTGGTGGCTGTGGTGGGACACGGCTATACCAGCCGTCAGCGGTAACTCGAAAGGCGGGCCTAGGCTTCTTCTTGAACAGAAAGTGAGAGCCGGTAAGTTCTGCCATGGCTTTCGCAGCCAGGCGGGCGAAACATGGGAAACTGAATATGAAACTGCAAGAATGGGAGAACAAATGAAGTTCACAGGGGACCCCTTCGAGTTAGCGGCTCAGGGTCCTCGTCAATGAGAGAGAGGTACCCCCCTGCCTGAACCCGCAGAGGAGGGTTCGCGGCACCACACCTGCTGAGCTGGCAAATGATATTCAACCCCCTTCTAGAGGGTTCGGATGAGATGCTCGTGTCTGGCAACGCATGACGATCTGATTGGGCCGCACGGCAGGTTTCAAGTCAGCGGTGGCAGGTGCGTTGCTTCGGGACGGTTTTTGTGCGGTGGGAAATCGAGTCGCGGCTGTTTTCACGGACTTGTTCACCTTATTGAGGACTTCAATTTCGTACCCTTAAAAACAAATTTATTTTTTTCCCGTTTTATACGCGCATGCGCTTATGCCCTACACTTAATTACAAGCGCCCCCCCTAAAAAAAAAAAAAAAAAAAAAAAAAAAAAAACGACTTTATTATATGCGCTACTATCCGGGGTGATATGGTACTTCAAAATGCCTCAGAAATGATAATTTTAAACACATGAAGTGTTTTTTTTTATTACGTATTTCGAAAGCGAAGCTGCCTGTAACGCGGATTTGGCATCGTCGAAGCGTGCTTAACGCCCTTCTCCAACTACAAATCGTGGGTTGGAGCTCATTTCCCTCCACCCACGTCTCTCATTTTTCAAACGGCTCATGCAACTCTCTGTTTCTCGATGTCATTTCTAGTTTTCCGTCTCAAGCTGGCGAAGACTCGCTCTCTACCCAGAGGCGTGTCACCTTCAACTTTATTAGCCGACATTTTCAACCACAACCGCTCGACGATGGCTTCTACGCCGACACTTAATCGCGCAAACAACAACGTCGTGAACGATCCGAATATTTCCGACACCGAGCGTAACGCCCGGGAAACGGCGGGCGAGCGTCGAGGCAAGCGCCGGGCAGACGGCGAAACGTCCGCCCCGACCGCCGTTGACGTGCTGTTGGGCGGGCTCGAGGTCAACAAAAACGCCCCGCAGCACCCTTCGGCACCTGTTGCGCCAGTGGCGCCTGTGGCGCCACACGCGTCTGACGTGGAGCACGCGCCTAAGGCACACGCGCCCCACAGGCAGTCGCGTCAGCGCAAGAGGCGCCGCACGGCCGCCTCATATGACGTGACGGTTGTCCTTGACTTGACCCAGGCGTTGACCCCGGACCAAGTCAAGGCACGCATGTCCCTGTTACAGCAGCGACCCGCCAGCGCAATTGAAGCCGAAACTACACAACCGGCAGCATCGATTTCTGTTAAAAACGAAATTTCGAAAAAAAGGAGAAGGGGGCGAAAGGAGCATAAACACGTCGCCACAATAAGGAGGTGGCTACCAGCGCTCCCGAAGCTGTAGCCGACGACAACGACTCCGACGACTCAGACGACGACGCTGGTGAGGTTCCGATCGACACAGCAAATATCACCTCTATGGAAAATCTCTCCCCCCCCCCCCCCCCCCCCTTCCTTCCACCATCCCCACTTTTTTCGGCGGCAAACTTCATGAAACCGATCGTGCGCGCGAAATAGGAGCCCTTGAAAGACGTGAGGGTCTACCTGAAACATGCGGAGTACAAGCTGCAACACGGCGATGCGGCGGGCGGACTCGAAATGGTCGTCAACGCCCTCGACTACATCTCGGAGCGTTTCGTGATGTTTCAAGTCAGGGACCACGCCGACGACCGCGCGGCCAAGCGGTTCAAGCTCTACCAACAGAAGAGCCTGCTTACCTCCCGCCCGTTCAAGCAAGCGGTAGCTGATGTGGCGGCTATGGATCGCGCGGAGAGCGCGCACGCTCGTTCCCACCGCGTCGGAGGGCATGGGCCGACGTCATACATCCCCAAGCACGGACCGCCGCCCACGGGTAGCTTCCACGGCTTCCGTGGGACGGGCTTCCGTTGTGGCCAGCCGGGTCACGTGGCAAGCGGCTGCCCAAGGAATGGGAACGGTGGCCAGGGACCCGCACCCGTGGTGTAGGGGCGGGCCTTGAGCGATTGCGCCATGTGTGCGTGGCACGGTGCACGTCATGTGCAAGGACCGTGGGCAGCCCAAAGGGGTTTGCGGTGGCGGTTGGCCAGCCCTAGTTAGGGGTGATTAATAGGCTATAGGCCTTGGATAAGGAAGAGGGAATAAAAACCTCTTGGCCCTTGGTACTAGCCCATGCGGTAGGGGCGAAAGCATGCTAGGAAGCATGGCAATGTATGGCCCGTTTCATATTATGGCGGTCTTATTAAAGAAGTAATTTCTGATTGGGCTCATGATTTAAAAAAACAAACAAACAAACAAACAAACAAACAAACAAACAGAGGAGAGAGAGGGAGAGAAAGAGAGAGGAATAGAAAATGGCAAGGATGCACATGACCCAAATCCATGGCCCTTGAACTCAAGGGCAGCCATTGCCTCGGCCACCTTGTCAGAATATATTTGATATATGTTCTGTATAAGCGCATGTAGTTCTAGCTGTAGTGTAGTCCCATTATTGTCCTGTGTGGTGGTGCACCACTCCTTGCATGCTTCTCCTCTATTTGTACTTGTCATTCTATAGTTGAAACCCTTCTTCTTGCTTCAACTCTCTCGACACCTCCTTCAACCCTAAAACCTAAGTTCTTCCCTACTAAAGCTATGGCTCCTAAGCCTAGCTGTCCTTAGTGTTTCTGACACACCAGGCCAAAAGGCATGTCCCCACGAACCGCAGCCTCAAGCGGCCCCACAGCCGCGAAGCCTCCCAGCACTGGCGCTGCCAACACGGGCGCCAGGAGCAGGCCGAGCTGGTCGGCCGCCTCAAGACAATCAGTCCGCTGTCCGTCAAGGAGAACCCCCCGAGGAGGCCGGGACAGCGAGGCGTGCGCCTGAACCTGGATCAGCAGGAGCGCACGAAGGCTCTCAGAGAGCCGCCACATCTGGCCGAGCGTCGCCTCAGGGACGCGCACCTGCGGGAGGAGGACCTCTTCTGCCGGGAGAGGAAAATGAGGAGCAACGGCAGAGGGAGCAGGTTCATAATGAGGAGGGGCAGGCACCACCCCTCCAGCAGCGGACACGAACTCCATGCCCGCCACAGGAGGCACCCAGGGCAGTCGTAGGCGGGCCCCGGCTGTAGAGGACGACACAGCAGGAGCGGGAGGAGGAGAAACCGCCTGCGGCGCGACAACAGGGGGTGCAGCGGGAGGAGGAGCCACGGGTCCAACGTGCTGTGAGCTACTCTGGCTCGCCACCCCGGCCCTCTCCTCGCGCAATGCAGCAGAAACCACCCGCTGCACATCTGCAAGCATCAAAGATGGCTCGGATTCCCCCCAGCGGCCGCGACCGCGACCTCCCCTCCAGCCACCGCGACCGCGACGGTGAGCAGGCCATCCCGCCTGAGACTGACGATGCCGGGGGGAATCGTGACGGCGCCTCGACGTCTCGCGATCGTCACGTGGTCCTGGGGAGTGGGGCCGATGGTGTCGGCGGCCAGGAGACGGATGACGCTGCCCCGGCCTGGGAGCAGGATACGACGCAGGCGCAGACGGAGCAACGACAGCCACCGCCTGTCCCAGGGCGGCGCTGGTGGCTAGAGGTGGCTGGTAAGACGGGTCAGCAGCAACAGCAGCAGTAAGACGGGCACAGCCTCCGGCGGCACGGAGGACGCCCCAGCAGGCGCAGACGAGGCCACAGCAGCAGGCACGGGCACTGGCGCCACCTCAGGGGCAAGGGGAAGCGACGGAGCAGGAGCAGGAGGATGCGCAGGATCAGACACCACACCAGGCGCAGGAGCAGGCGCATGAGCAGACGCCACTGCAGGGGCAGGAACAGGCGCAGGTGCAGACGCTTCAGCGGGCGCAGGAGCAGGCGCAGGAGCAGGCGCAGGGGCAGGCCCAGGAGCAGGCGCAGGAGCAGGCGCAGAAGTAGGTGCCATAGCGTGCAGAGGAGCGGACGCCGCGGCGGGCGCGGACGCCGACTCCACGACAGGACCTAGCGCCGCAAGAGGCGCAGGGGCAAAGGCAGCAGGAGTCGCTGGCGACGGCGCAGAGCCAGGAGCGAGAAGCAGCGAAATCTCCACAACAGCCAGCGCCGGGACCGCTTGCGGGGCAACCACAGCAGACACCGCGTCAAAGGGCCATGGCGAGTAGTGAAGCTCGTCGCCTAACGCCACAGGCATCGCGGGGAGGACGAGACGGCGGGCGCGGAGGTCCGTCAGCAAGGGGAGGAGGACCCGAGAATGGCTTCCAGAGAGAGGCAAGGCGGGCTTTAATACGAAATGCAGAACACAATGAAGACGAAGCAGGAGACCCTACGTTTATAGCAAATGGGGAGGAGGAGGAATCTACTACGGAGGAATCGGGGGAGTTGGAGGAAGAAGCACTGGAAGAGGGACGCCGTGAGAATCGAACACCACGCCAGGCAACTCCAATCCCAGCTGCAATTGGTGGGGTGCAAATTGGCCTGGCACCTGACACCTCCACACAAACACCATGGCCCCGCCAATTTTCGCCATAACAACTCGCCAAGGACAATGTGCGGTTCGGCGAAGTGGAAAAGTGGGACCTGTCTCCCTTACGCGATAGTCGTCAGCCCCCAATTTCGCGTAAACTCCCTGCTGACATTCGCCCGCTTTTCGCCTCAGCCCTCCTGACACCACTACTTCACCTTGCGCGAAACCCTGGGTCAGTCGCGGGCTGGCGCCTGTTACTCTTCGTCCCTCGACTCACCCTTCGTCTGCCCTCAACGGAGAAACCTGATTGGCCGTCTGTCAAATCACGACTCCGCCAATTTCTAAAGGGCGAATGGCAGCAGCTATATGATTCTGCAGTGGCCGCAATCACTGGACCACACCCGCCACGTCATACCCCTGACGCTTTGGGCAAGCGCTCCAGAGCCGAGGGCCTCGCACGCAAAGGAAGTTTCCGCAGGGCGATCCTCGCCCTTGAGTCAACGCCAGTCGCTGACCCTTCTGCAAACACACTCGCCGCTCTCAAGGCAAAACACCCCCCCTCGCCACCAGGCATCATCGATTGGAACATCCCCGATACTGTACCAGCAGCCTCGATCGACAAAGGGGACTTCGTAAAAATGTTGTGCCGCTGTGAGAACGGAGTGGGAGGGGGGCCATCTGGTATGACATTCGAGCACCTCAGGGATGCGTCGCTCGCCAACGCAGGGGTTACCACACACCTACACGCCCTCGCCAATACCATCTTGCGAGGCAACCTGCCTACCTCACTCCCACCGAGCCTAAGTGGCCTAGGCATCGCCGACCCAGCAGTGGAGGGCCGATACAGTTTCTTGGCGAGCTTCGTGCAGGCCCACACACTTCTCGGCCCGCTAGAGGGCCAAGCAGGGTCCAATCTGACAGCAGCACTGGATAGCACCGAAGCAGCCGACCACAGCCCCAATGAACTACAGAGGTGGATCCAGGACTGCAGGGACAGCCTCACACAGGAGGGGAGGGACCTAATCTCGGCGGAGCAGATAAAACCCAAGGGCCAGCTATAGCACCGCCTTGCTCTCCTAGTCCAAGGGGGCCGGAGTGCCGCCCAGATAACAGCATCCAGGCAGATGGAGCTAAACCCCCTGTCACGCCACATCCAGCGGCTCATGTCCCTCACGGGCTATGGGGCGGGAGATTGGCTTCTGGCAATTCCCTACATGCCCGCCCTGCGGTTATACCCCTGCCACTTCACGTTCGCCCTCCAGTTCCGTCTTGGCCTGCCACTCTCCGTGCCCAACTGCAAAGACTGCAGCGACAGAGTCGCCATTCTCGACAAGAGGCTGCCGAATCACTTGCTCCGGTGCGGTACAGGGCACGGTCGGACCAACACCCATAACGAGCTACGCGACGAGTGCATCCGCATGGCGCAAGATGCAGGATTTGCTGTGCACAAGGAGTGCACCGCCTTCAGCCCGGTAGACAACAAGAAGGCCGACTTGGCCTTTCGGGATGGGAGCTCGAGCGCGGTGTGGCTGGCAGATATCACAATCACGGACCCTATCAGCAAACGGGATGAGAGAGCGAGGAAGGGGAGGGGCTGGGCAGCACGGGAGGCAGCCAATAAGAAGATAGGCCTCTATCACGGCAGGGCAGAGTTTGCTGGGTTCGTCCCCTTGGCAGTAGAGACCTACAGCTGCCCCTGCGAGGAAGTGCCCACCTTCCTGAAGCAAAAAACAAAAACAAAACCCTTGTGGTCACGTGACCATGCGGGAAGACTCTCAACCGTACCTTGGTTGGTGGGTAAAAAAAAAAAAAAAACACACACACACACACTCACAAAAAAGCAAACAAACAAACACCGAGAAGGTGAATCGCACAACGCTGATGCTATGGGCGACAGGTGGTTATTTGAATGGGTTAACAAGCACGCATCCATCACATGCACTTACCCTTCATGCACGAACGCTGGAAATCAAACCCATAAGACCCTCGTTTTGCATTCCTGCTCCACTGTCACTCCGCAAACATGCAGAGGCAATACAACACGAGGTGCTAGACGACGATCCATACGAATTCGCCGTCACCGACGAAATCATCACGCAAATGCGCGGGCGGCTTCGCGCAACCCTTGCATGGTGGAGCTCGTGGTGCCCCAGTAGCCTCATCCTCTTGGTCATCGCCAACGGCTACTGACTACCATGGAGTCACAACCCTCCACAACCATTTCACGAGTGCAACCATCTCGGCGCGCACACACACGCTGCATTCACACGCACCACCATTCGCGAACTTACGGAGACCGGAGCGGCGGTAATCACCCTGGCAGCGGAGCTCAAATGCATAAGCCCACTTAACGTGGTCGAGCAACGAGACAAATGCAGGCTTATTCTCGACCTTAGGAAAGTGGGCGCGCACCTGATCATCCCCAAATTCAAATACGAAGGACTAAGCCGCGTTGCCGACCTGGCACGCACAGGAGATTGGATGTTCTCCATCGACCTCAAATCCGGATACCATCACATCGATATACACCACTCCTGCTGGAAATTCCTCGGCTTCGAATTCGAGGGGCGCACGTACTCTTTCCGCTCATTGCCCTTCGGCCTCGCGACAGCACCATTTGTCTTCACACAGCTCATCAAACAACTAACAAGGCGCTGGCGCGAACAAGGCGTTCGAGTGATACCTTATGTGGACGACATCTTGTTTTTATGCATGTCCAAGGCCCACGCACAAGCAACATGCCATATGATAATCTCGGACCTTAAGATGGTGGGCTTGGTGATCAACGCGAAAAAATCGCAGCTGTTACCATCACAACACCTGCGATTCTTGGGCGTCGAGCTGGATACCAACTCTGGACAGTTCTCAATTGGCACCGATCGGCAAGCATCACTTCATGCACACATTCGGAACCTACTGAGCGCGAGCAAGTCACGGTTACTGTAGCAATATAATGCTGTTAATAAGGGAATGTACCCCTCCGAGTACATGGCTAGCTAGATTGCTATTTATACCCTTGTACTGCTATCTTATAATCATATTACTCTTTTCAGCTTTATTAACAAGGTCACTACAAAGACTTCACTGTTTTCTCCTGAACTTAGCAGTCCTATTCTATCCACTTTGATTCCCGGATTATAACAACATGGTATGAGAGCTAGAGTGGATTATAAGACTTGCCAGGTTCCTGTTCTTCCTAGAACAAACTCCTTATAAACTCATTCATTAAAATATCTATTACAAGTCTGCATCACTATGGCTCCTGGAGGAAAAGCCACTGCAGACTCTTCGGGCCCACCACCACCAGCAACGACTACTGCGCCATCAGAAGTGACTTCTGTCAGCGCCGCTCTCGTCGAGCAGCTTGTCTCCCGCATCAATGCTCTTGAGAGCCATCAAGCCATGAGCATCGATGGCTCAAGCTTCGCAAGAGGAGTTGCTGGAATGCCTCTCCCGGGAGAAGACCGTCGCGTCAACTCCGAGAGATCTTTTACCTTTGACAACCGTCAAGCTTCAGCTCCTGCACACGACAGTCAACAACGCGCACATACGGAGGCAAACGCACCCATGCAAACAAGGTTTGTGTTGACCTCAAAGCTGAAAACTTCAACACAGTTTGACGGCAAAGATTTCTACACGTGGAGCTTCGAGTTTGAACTCCTTGCAACAACGGCGCAGATCTGGATGTACTACGACGGGAGCTCACCTTTTCCGTCGGAAGGAACCATCCAGGAGAAGAATCAGTACTACCACGAGCCCCTCCTCGCGTACACCGCTCTTCTCCGAAACCTCTCCCCCGCCGAGCAGCTTGGCATTCGCTCCTTCAAATCAGAGTGGGCTCCCGCGCAAATGTCTTGGGAACACCTGCGCAATTCATACATGGCAACAGACCCAGTCACCATGAGCCGTTTGCTCAACCAACTGACATCAGTCAAAATGCAACAAGGGGAGAAATCGGGACCGTATATCAACCGATGTCGCAATCTGCGCGACCACATCAAGAAGTCTGGTGGAACAGTCCCAGACGACATGTTCGTCTCGATGGTTCTCTCTTGACTTGGACCTGATTGGCGTCAATGGCAGTCGCTGCTTTGCGCTCCAGCAGCCATTTCCGAGTCCACCCTTTGCGCCACACTCCTCTCCGATCAAAAGGAGATCGACCTGTACAACGAGAAGAACAACAAGAGGGAGAAGTTAGTGTTCTTCACTGGAGCAACTGAAGGGGAGCGACACGGAAAGAAGGGAACCTTTTGCAAGTACTGCAAAAAGCCGGGTCACACCACAGATCGGTGCTACAAATGACAGGCTGCTGACGAAAGGCGCAACAACTTATCTGGTCAACAGTCCTCCGCGCATTCCTCAACTCCAGCAACAGCAACAATGTCACCGCCCTCCGTCGCGAGTACCTCCTAAACCCCTGCACGCATCTCGTCTAAAGACAAAGGCAAGGGGTCAATACTCAGCTGGATGGTGCGTCGCAGATGCATTCGCTACTACAACAATAACATCAGCTTTCCTCCAGACACTCCGATCAATCCGATCACACCAACCTCAGAAAATGATCCCACGGTCAACCTCTGGGGCGAAAAAGTGCATCTCCTACCTGACTTCGAACTCCCTACAAGCACACCAGAGTCTCCCCCTAGCTTCCCCGCAAGAAACTACGTCGATCTTTCGCCGTACTCCGGAGACTTCGACCGCATCGTCACTCCAAAGATTGCCGGCAT